TATTTGAATAATTTAATCATTTTTTTATTTAGAATATGCCAGCAGTACATGATAGATGACAAGAAAAAATTCTTTATATGCCATCTTTTATTTCAGTTCGTGATCTTAAAAAGCAAATTATAGCAAGAATTAAGGAAAAAACTCCAAATATAGAATTATTTAATCAGTTATCATTTCCTTCAGAAAGGTGGATTGGATATCAGTTTTTTCCAAAAAATCCTTAGGCACGCGTTAGTACAGAATATGTTAGTCAATTTAATATTAAATATAAAGTACAAACATATTTATTATGAAAATTATATCCAGATTTTTATTACTGCCAAGCAATTTTTAAATATTTACGTAATTTTTCAGTTAAATATCAAGAATATGTAGCATTTATTTTTGCAGATGATAAGCATAAAATTCCTATTGGTGAAGAAATTCCTACTTCTACAGGTGTTCATAATCATCAAACTGCTACTCAGACGGATATATTGCTTGCAGCTAGTGATCATGATTTTACAAAACTTTCATTAACACCATCTGTAACAATGATTATAACAATACCAAATGATCCATTAGAATCTTTTTATAATAGTCAAGTATATGTAACATATAAAGATACTATATTTCAACCAAGTTTAGCTTTACGATATGCTACTGAATTTTATAATATACTTAATAACTTTTATAGTAAAAATTTACCTGAAATTTTGCTTTTATATACTGATAGAGGACCAAATCATCGATGTTCATTTGGATCAGTACAAATTTCACTTATTTGTCTTTTTTACATAGTGATTTTGATTTATTAATAGCTATACAAACTGCACTATACTATAGTTGGACAAATCCTATTGAAAGAATTATGTTAATTTTAAATTTAGCTTTACAAAATGTTTCATTAGAACATGAAAAAATAAATGATAATTTAGAAAAAGAATTTTTACAACTTAAAACTTTAGAAAGGATTCGTAATAGTGCAAGTAATAATCAAAATTTAAAAAAAGAGTTGCAATACTCATTAACAAATGTTCAAAAGCTTTTAAATGAATGAACTACACATTTAAAATTGCATGATAGTTATTTTAAAATAGGAAAACCCGCTACTGAAATTGAAATTGATGAATTTTTTGATATAAGTAATATTTTTAGTTTTAATTTTTTTTAAATAATAAATTAATTTAATATATTTAATAGATTATATCAATAATTAATCCTTTACTTCAAAAAAATATAACTACTACTAATAGTTTTAAAAAGAAAGAAATTTATCAAGAATTTTTGTGATTACATTGTAAAGTTAATTATATACTTTTCAAATTAAAAAATGTGGAAACTTAACTTGTTGTTTTTGTAAATCAATCTGTATGCCATATAATGAGTTTAAAATATTGGCATTTTTTCTCGATCTAGAAATTTCATCAGGTAATATTATAATATTTTTTAAATTAATATTTAATACTAAACAAAAAGTATAATGATAATATTTTTATAGACGATCAGCATTATAAAGAATTTTTAGAATTATATGGACAAAAAACAAATGAGCAATTTCATCTATCATATAGCAAAGTGTTATTAAATGAACAAAATAATAATTCAAATACTGGACTTTTTGTTAATAATTTTATTTCTATGTTAGTAGAATGTGATTTTTGTGAAAAATATCAATGCTTATATTCTCAAACTTTATTAAATGATCAAGAAATAGATTTACTTACAACTTACTTAGAAAATACTTCATATAGTTGTAGCTCACCTATTTTTTCTGAAGAACATATATTAGCAAATCGTATATATATGTGTTATAATTTGAATTGTGATTAACTAATTAAACG